GCGTGTGCTTTCTGATACTTTATAAAACATTTATTATTATCTTGTAAAAGTATTCTTACATGATAATTTTTTATCATCTCACTATAATTTCCTATTGAAAAGTAAAAATCTCTCCTCTGTGTAGACAGGCGAGCCACACGAGGAAGTCAAATGAAACAAATGTTAAAATAAAAAATTCGTAAAGAGTTAAGGGAGGATGAAAAATACGCTGGCGGATAATCACTCTTATTGTTCTCATTATTGATTACTCTCGTTGTCCTTGTTCCGATGATTATCGGTTACTAGCACGATAATTAACAACTCATGATTCATACGTATATGGATTCTAGACGAGATAACAAGTGCCTAAGTATCTATAACTTCTTTCGGACCACAGAAAGACTTTTATCAACTTAGACAAAGTAAAACGACTATTATTGCGAATTATTATTGCGCGAGGAGAGAGAGCTGCGAATTGAGTGTGTTGTACACTACTGACGACATGTTGTGACGATATATAGATATTATTATTCGTATTTGTAATTGTGTACATAACACCGTTTACGCGCGTATATTTCCGCTGAGATGCGTGAGTATGAATGGCCGATAAACTAGCGCTGCGAGAGATTCGAGATTATTATATTAATATAAATATATTATATAAATATATATCTCTAGATGGCAATCTCTATACAAACGAGATTAAAGGAGGGGTGGGGGTATAATGGGATAAGTAGATGAAGTGTACGCGGACCTTTTTCCTCTCAAAGAAACGACGTGGTCATGCGATATATGGTTTTTATTATGTAAAATGTAAACTCGGATGTGACGACGATCGGACATGCAATGATCTGAATCACGAATCTCTTTCTCTCTCTCTCTCTCTCTTTCTCTCTCTATCTCAATCTGATTACACCCACTCAAGTGCATGCTCAACGATACGGGAGAGCTTTGTAAAGAGCCACTTCATAGATATTCTCGACGGTCTCATCTTCGGGGGACGCGCGCCGCTTACGAGAGATTTACCGGAAATTTTTAATTAACGACGAGCTAAGTGAAAAGTTTCGTTTCAATTGGCTAATGTTTTTGGTCTCGAAAATATCCTGTTGTGAGAAATTAATGACGTGAGTAGAAATTCGCAAACTTTGCAGGAAATTTATAAGCGAAAGTCCAATTAAAGACAGAATTAAATCAATCGAAATAAAAATTATAAAATAATTCGAAATTAATCGGTTTTTATACATGTACAATAATTAGATGTATATTAAATGTAATGTTGTAATAATTGTACGAAATAATTGTATGAAATGTGTAAGAGAGGATACAAGAGCGAAAAGTTGCTCTTGAGATAACTTAAGACGCGCCTTCGTGCGAAATCTTTGTAGTAAATCGTTTGGAAATAGCGCGGGTCTCCCCCCTTTCACGCACAAAGAGTTCACTCGTAAAAGAACGCAGCCGACAGAGAACCGCAGCAGCCGCAGCAATGCAATCTCCAAATACAATACATACATAGAAATCGCGTTATCGATGTGTGTCATTCGAGTGACTCTGGGGTACGCAGAAAAAACGTGAAATTGGAAACCGGAGGGTGCATGGACACTGAAACTAACTACGTAAATGTTAACTTATAGACGTTGACAAATTTTTAAGCTCTCGTAAATTTTATAAGTACTCGTCAATCGGCGTGGTTCTGGAGATTTGTCGCGTGATGCTTCGATTTTTCTCCGTTTGTATACTATGTCGAATTGTAAAAAAAAAAAAAAAGAAAGAAAGAAAGAACGAAACGTGGAGAGAACATGTAGAATCAATTAGGAACCTAATGTTTAATGGAAGAGACCTCAGAACTCAGAGACTTTCATCGAGATTTCGGGCGAATGCCGGGCGATTGACAAATCGGTTTATTGTTATACGGATTACTACGGACTACTAGTTTTGAGAATACTTTCAGAATCACGTTCCTCGGCAGCCTTCTTGGCTTGTCTACGACCAATGCGAACTCCACTCTCTCACGCATCTTCTCTTCGCGATATTTCCTACGCACAACTCGCCGATCTATTTTCCCGTGTTTTACGCGTTTCTTTCGTATATTGCTTTGCTTTGTCCTAACACTATAAGCCAAAGAGCTCCCTGCTTGCATCGATGATCGATTTAGATCGCACGATGTACGATCAGAAGATTTCTTTCTCTCGTCCTTCATCTTATTTTTATCTCTAATCGTTGACTGCGTTGCATATCCCACGTTTGACGCTCTATATATTAATTTCTCGATTATCTCTCCCTTCTTCTATTTAGTTTCTTTATTTTAAGTGATAACACGAAACCGTTATTATGAAACATATAGTGTGTACACACACACACACACACATAACACATACACACACACACACAAAACACACACACATATGCCAAATTTTTAGAGAAGAGTTGGATGATGCTGAAGCAGCAAGTGTAAATTACAGAGACTACGGGTCCGTAAAAATACGACCATAAGTAGCAGCAGAATTTTTTACGCTCTGTAAAGTAATATAGATCGCCGTCTATTCCTCTCGTCTCTCATGGACGGAAGAGACACAAAAGAAATACAAAAATTTAAAAAAAAGTAAATAGAGCGCCACACGGTCCAGAACCACTAATGTTTAAAAATCCGAAGTCTGTTTATATCTTATGATGTCTGAATAAAAATTGTCATAGTAATTAAAACCCCGTGCAATCGATCTTTTTCGCTCATAATACGCATGTACGCATAGACGTACGTATTATATATATTATATACTTTGCTCGGATTTAACACTAGAACAACCAAAGCAATTATAATACTTCGTAATTTTATCAAATTTTACGATGCATTTTCTGACATTTTCCATGACTTTTGTTGCAACATGTAAATAATGAAATTTATTATTTCTCTTCATTCTTTTTTTCGAAGAGTAAATGCATAAGTATAAATATACATTAATCGTCGGTAGTTCTAGTGTTAATAAAGTTTTCAGGAAAAGAAAAGATATCGGCGTTGGATTCTACGTGAATGATCATCTGGCGATTAAATGGTGAAAATAATTGAACTAGAGATGGATAGATTATTCGTGATTTAAAATTGAAAAGATTTTCAATTTTGCTTGTGAAATAAACGCAGCTTCGTTTACGCGCAGTAGAATAGTCAATTTTTTCACGTTCTTAGTAACGACATCGTTAACGGCTAACGTTTTATACCGTTTTACAAAATTTACAACGAAATATGTTAAGTTCCGTTAACGATAAACAGTAATAAGTCGTAATAAACCGACAATGCGGAAAATATACGTCGTATATTACGAGATTTATCGTAAATACAATATCGCGTTAGTAATCGCATATAGAAAGACCAATATTTTCCATTTCGTGAGACTAAAAAGCGATCAGGTACGGTCAAGAGTAGCTAAAACTAAGAGACAAATTATAAACTTGCGACTAGCAAAAATTTAATTTTAATCAACTGAGAGAAATTTAAAAAGAAAGCCGACACGAAATTTTCTCCAAAATATTTATCGCTTGATGTAAGGTATTCTATGTAAATACATATAAATATAAATGTGTATGTTTTCATAAAATGCGCGGAGAGCCGAGGATATAAGATTCAGCAGGACCAATTACGTGTTTCTATTGTGTACTAAGGTTGTTTTTCGATTTATTTGTTATGAATAATGCTCGATTCGTTCGAAATAAAATTGATATTAATAGCCGGGAATATTATTAATTGTAATAATTATTGATAGTAGTAACGCTAGGTACAGTGTGACAAAGGACCCGAAAGAAGGGAGGGCGTTTAGCATGTGTGATAATGGAATAAAGTGCACAATAATTATATTCATCTACTCTATACGTTAGATTTTAGTGGCTTTCAGACATTGCGAACTTGTCGAAAAATGCATTTTAATTACATTTCGCTGTTCGCAAGTATGTTTAAAGCAATGCGTAACGCGTCGTACGTTTCAATATGGGATACTCTGGAATGGAATTTGGAATGTTGAAATAAGAAGTGAGAGGAATAGGAAATAAAATTAAACGATCAATTAAACGAGATTTCTTCTCGAAATCCTATCATATTGCCCTCGAAAAATAATTTCCTTTTTTTGCGATGAAGAGACTAGTCATATGATTTATGAAATATCATTCGGGAATATATATGAAATTTAAAATTTATAAATTGTAAGATAAAATTGCAAGAAAAATGCTTCAATTTAGCTATATGTTTCTTCTCTTGAGATTAAATAATACTTTCATTCATTCCAAATGCATTCGTATGATAATTATGACAATGAAGGATATTCATATAATTAGGATAAATAAAGGATCAGTACTCACGGAATGGGATTACAGGAACACTCACCGACGGGCATTTTCATCCAACGCAGGCATCTTTCAAAACATTCTCGTTTATTTATAAAGTCCGTCAAGTCTCCTCTAGTTGTTGCCTCTCCTTGATGGCGGCAGCTTTTCTCTCTCTCATTATTTTACAGTACTTTACAACATGTGTAGGTCGGTCGCGAAAATTCATGTTGCCAAAAAAAATACACAAGAGATCTTCCTAGGTCGTCCATCTTCACGGAAGTGAGTGGTCGGGTAGTAGCACGGTTTCAAAGGTACGGTTTAAAATGTACATGCGCGAAGAAATAAAACGTATCGCAGAATCGACTGAATAAAATACGTCGAATTTTTTTTTGTATGCCGTGCAGCTTATTTGTGCACGTATCGGCTGTAACAAGGCACAAGTATGCACGCGGACTGGCACTCAATGAGTAAGCTAAGATTCTTGTTCACCAGTCTTAAATTTCGTTTATAATTCTCTAGGGAATTCCATTTCGAAGAACGAAATAACCGTTGCATCGGAATTGCGAAATTGAACTAGAGTTCAATAAGTTAGAAGGAAATTTCGAGCTTAGCGTGCAGTTAATATTATTTCGTCACCTGCGCCGCCTTCTTCGCTTTCACGAGCTCGACCAGTTCCTGCCACAAAAAGAAACAAAACATAGCATTGTAGTTCGATACATTATTCTCTTTAAGCTAATACTGAATAACACTTAATATTAAATTATTTAATTATGTCGAACGTTGTTTTATCTTTTTTCCTTTCGTTTAAAAAAAAAAAAAGATACTTTATGATCAGGTATAACGATATTTAATTTGACATTACGTAAAACTCTGAGATTGCATTGTGCGACTATAATGATATAAGTTATGTAACATGTCTTTTTTTAAATGCTTACCTTATATCTCTTCATACATTCCTTTTTCGTTCTAGTGGGTATACACGCCGCGATCTGATCCCATCTGTCTGGGACCGTCGTGGGATAGGTTTTCAGTGCTTGTTCCAGGAGTTTCTGCTCACCCGGTGTCCACGGCGCCGATTCCTTTTTCACCTCCTTGGATTCAGCGGCGACGCCGTTCGCGATTGGATGATCTAGACGCTCCGTAACAGCTGGCATTCTTTCTTCGACAGCTTCTTTGCCCTTTTTCTCGGCGATGAAGTTGTCGAAGGCTTTTTTATTCGCTTGTTCCTTTAAACTCGATTTGCTGAAGTCGGTTGATTGCAGACTCTTGGCCTTTGCCAAGACTTCCTTGGCGTCGCGGCTGACTCCGCTGGTGGAACTGCTATGTTGATTGATGAAGTTTGCCACCACCTCCCAACGTTGATTTGTACCAGCGGGAAAGAGATTGACTGCTTTTATTAAGAGTTGCAAGTCATTCTCGCTCCAGGGTGCGGTGCAGGTTTTAATCTGCTTATCAGGCGCGTTTTTCGCATCGTTACTGATCACATTTACGCGGCGTTCTGCCTCGATTTTTCGTTCAGCTTCTTCAACGATACTTAAAAACGCGGTTCTGCCGTTGGTCTGAAGATTCTTCATTGCTTTTTCCAGTTGCACAAGCTTGAACAGTTCACAAATTTTCTCTACGCTTTCCATGTGTCGAAGACTTTCTTCTGAGTTTTTGGCAAAATAATCATTTGCCTTACAAAAATCCCTGAATGCCTTTCTTTCTTTGCGCAACGCCTTCTTTTGCACCTCTCGCTCCTGTTTCAGCGCATCTTGCTTCGCCCTTTCCTCGGATTCTTTCTTCTCTTTCTCCAATCTCTCCTTCTCTGCCGCATCTCGTGCTATTCTCTCTTCTTCCTGTTGCCTGGCCTTTGCTGCCTCTTGCTTCGCCCTTTTTACGGCGTTCTTCTTGTCCTTATCCTCTTGTTGGAATTTCTTTATCCTAGGATCTATATTGTAAGCCATGTCCACTAAAGTGCGTATTCGCGTCATCTCCTCTTTTTTCCGTTTCGCTCTCGTGGCTTTGTTCTTCTTCTCGATCCATTTGCGCATGTCCCGGCTGCAATTAATTTCGTCGTAAAACACTATGTTTTGCAATTTTCCTCTGAAGAAAACCCGCGTGATTCGTCGTACTTACTCTTGACCACTCTCCTTGTCTTCCTCGTCAAGATACGAGTACTCGCGCCAGGAATCGTAGTCGTACCAGAACGAGTAGAACTGTTCTACCTTCTCTCGTGGCATGAACGGGCCACCCAATCGCGGCACAGGCTTCTTCACGGACCACCGTGAGTTCTCTTTAAAAGCTTTACCCAACACCTCGTAAAAATTGTTCCGACAGTCCTTCTCGTCTGGCAGACTGTCATTGAAGTAAGGATCCACGCTATCGTAGCTTCGCCTCTTCGCTTGACTCCCAAGGGTTTCCCAGGCACGAGTTATACATGTGAAGTAGTCGTCGTCCGGTCGGATTTCCTCGCCCATCGCCTTGCGCTTGTCAGGATGGTGTTTTAATATTTTCAACTTGTCTGAAATCCATGTATTAGATATAGTTATCAATTTTCAATCAGTGTTACATTTACATTTTTCTATGGAGTATACTTTACGTACAAGCTCTTTTGATGAGATCTTCGGTCGCTCGGTGCCTAAGATCTTTCAAGCCTAAAACAGCGTAATGATCCTGATCCTTCCAGTCTCTTGGATCCAGCGACCTGAGGTACTCGAGATCGTCCTCGAATTGATACTGGGACAGATCCTCCTCCTCGTCCGACGATTCCGCATCGACACTGGCGCGCGTGAGGCTGCGATGGAACTGAGCTCGCCATGCCTGTGCGGTCGAATACAAAACTACGGGACCCGCTGTGCCGGTGTTGGCCTTGCTCGGATCTGCAATACAATTCATTTCAAGATTTATCTAAAAAAAAAAGCTGCAAAGGATTCTTCGGGACGTGACGAAATAACGTGGCAATTAGGCGTGCGAACGAGATCGCAGATGGATCGTCGGACGCGAAGTCAGAAGCACATGGTGTAAACTCGAATACCCGTTGTGGGCGACTATCTCCGGAATTACGTGAACGTGACGCGAAACTGAAAATTCTCTCACCGCGATAAAAAACGGGCCGAGCTAAATTGATCGACACTTGAAGGCTGAATTGCCATTGAAATGCGCGAGCTCATCCAAAAAACCCGCTACTTTGTGACACATCTAATCAATCATAACCTCAAAAAACCGGTGTCGCGGAGCAGAGGTTAGACTCACCGGATATGGAGTTGAACGCCGCGGAGTCCTCGTTCCCGGTGCCGTCCGTCATCGTCGTTAGATCTATGCGACGGGCTGATCCTGAAATCGCACACGGGATACGCGGAGGTACTCGTCGATCACGCTATGCACGCTATGCGTGCACCCCCCGAGCGACAACGAGCACGGAGCAACAGCGACCCAAAGTCCCGTCTCGATTGTTCCGAAGTAGGTACCTGAACGGCGAACCTCCGACAAGCACGAATGCCGCAAGCGCCAGCTCGGGAGTTCGCCGTTAACCTGCAAACGAATTATGAATGAAGCTCGAGAAAAAGGGAAATTTACAAACTTTACATTTTTACAAATTTACAACTTTACAAATTTACACGAACTTTCTTTCATATAATTTTCTCGGGAATTATTATTCGTTATGACCATCACCCTTTTAGGAATTTCAACCCTTTAACGCTTAATATCTTTAACTCTTTAATTTTAATTTATTAATTAAACTCTTTAATTAATTGATATTTAATATTATATATTTAAAATTCGAAAAGTTAATTCAACTATTATCTTTATACCTGTACTATTATCTTTTTCTGTTTCTAAAGAATTTTCTCTTTATTATTTATAGATTCCCTTTTATAAACACTAATTTTCTTTGTATATATTATATATAACAAATTTTATATATAATGAATTTTATATATTATATGTAATTAATTATTTTTTTTTTTAAAGAAGTTTCTTTAAAACTTCTTTAAAACTTTTTAACAATTTATTTTGTTGTAAAAGTAAACAAACACTCAAATTTTAGAAGATAATTAAACTACAATATTTATTTATGTCTGTACCTATTTAATTGTAATCGTTTTAAGAAAATTGAATAATTTCTTTTTCTAACAATACTCGAGACGGATGCTATATTGTCAACAAATGTATGATATGATTTCGATTTGAAGAAATGTGTTATCCGTGTATTATAAATGACTGTCGATTTACAAAAATTGATAAACCTATAAGCATATAATTGTTTACTATCAATGTGTAGTCTTGTCGCATCTTTTTTTACGATCACGTACTTATTTATTATCCATTATGATCGTTACCGGCGTCACCCTATCTCTGAAAAACGGACGCGGAACGCTCGACCGGTCCGACGCGGTTCGAACTCCAAAAATAAAATCGCTAAACCACGAGCGCTTACCTTATATACCTCCTGCGTGAGCCAGCGCCGCATCAATAGGAGCGCAGCAAGCGCTCATTGGCTGGCGCGCGAGTGGTGGGGCACGGGACTATATAAAGGCACGTAACTCGGTCGCGCGCGGCATTCCATATCGAACGGGGGGGTTCATCGCGTCAGCTGTAATCTATAGAACAAACTGTCGCCTTTAATATCTTTGAAAAATTTCTATCCTATTAGCTCACAAATTCAATACTAATTTAAAAATAGGAACGATGTCTTATTTTATATGAATCAAGATTGAAAGATTTAAAAATTGTGATGAAATTATGCGATGATACGTTAGGCTACACATCGTCCTTTTGCGCGACACGACGTGACGATCCCCCCCAATTCGATTAATTCGATATGAAATCATGTAAATTTTATATGATTAATACATTGTAAAATTAGAAACATCGCGCGTGGCCGAATTACGTGCCGTTTATGTAGTCTCCCATCACTCGCGCGCCAGCAATGAGTGCGAGACCGGCGCTCGCTGCGTTCAAGCGCTCCTATTGGTTAGCCGCTGGCTTTCGCAGGTGGTATATAAGGTAAGCGCTTCCACTGCTTCCAGTGAGACGCTCTTATTTGTTTTTGGAGCTCGATCCGCGTCGGATTTGTCGAGTGTTTCGCGTCCGTTTTTCAAAGGTACGGTGACGGTCATGACGAAATAATTCTCGAGAAGACTATATGAAAGAAAGTTCGTGTTTGTAAATACGTGATCGTAAAAAAAGATGTGACAAGACTGCAAACTGACAGTGAACAATTATATGCTCATAGGTTAACCAAATTTTGTAAGTCGATAGTCATTTATAATATACACGCATAACATTATTTCTTCAAATCGAATTCTTTGAATTAGAAAAAGATAAAAGTTAAATCGATATTAAAATTAACCTATATTAGTAGAAACGGACATAAATATCGTGAAAATAATTACTATGCTCAATTGCGGATCTTCTTCCAGAATGGCACTTGCCTTCTTGTCAAAGTCAATATGCGGTCAATGTTTAATTGTAAAGTAACTCATTTTGCAGACAAAACGGAAAATGACGCTAGGTCCTTTTTCGTCTATTTCGCGGTGTCGGAAATTTTACTTAAAGTTATTGGTATGTTTTTTTGGAAGATAGCGCATGCACCGTTTATCTTTTTTCTTATTTTCTCTAACATGAAGAGAAAAAGAGATTAAATGTACTTTGTAAGAAAGTGAATGCACCGTTTTAAAAAGAACATACCATATATTGGCAGTAAGAACTAGATGTGATTGCATTTTAATTGTTCCGTTTAATTGACCAAAAAAATCAGAACAATCAAAATGCAACGAATCTGCTATCTCCCCATAAAAAATTGCAATTATTCTATACAGAAAAGAAATAATAAAAACAATGTAATAGAATTGGATATTAAAAATGGTCAAAAAGAATAAATTGCATTGTTCAATACATGAAATTTTTCCATCATAGAAATTAAATCAAAGCTTCATTCCAAAACGTTGCTTTTAAGGAAAATTTTACTAAAAAGCTATAGTATACATAATGTAAACTATAGCTTTTTAGTAAACTTTTTCTCAAAAGCAACGTTTTAGAATGTAGCCTAAAATAACAATTAAAACGTGAGGTAGGCGAAACGAAGACATAAACTTCGAAATTTATTTATTTGTTAATAAAAATATACTCAAATATAAGTCATGTAATAGTTTGAACATTTGAAATTCATTGTGAGACATAAGTACCACATTGAACATTCGTATATTATCTTTATTCAATAATGCTCGTAATTAAACAATGCTCTAATTAACAAGGCGTAGTTCGATTTAATGCGAGTGCATACATGTACAAGACAGAAGGCACGTGTTTTCTTGTGTTTATCTCGCGAAGCTTCTCGACCCGACAGAATTTACCTTACGAAATATTCCTAGATAACTTACGAGTATAATAGATATTGATAAAAGAAATATACAGTCTACAGTGTTCGCTATGTTTTCTTGCAAAACGTCAATTGGACGGAAATCTCAATCGCGAACGAACACAAACTTTCGAACTTCGGATAGTTTTGTTTACTAGGAAGACGGGATTACATGAAATGCAAATCATTTTCAATTGGCATCACCACACACCCTATTCTTTGTTCGTAACGATAATAAACTGATTTCCGATATAATAAGTATAAATTACTTATTATCACTTACTTATTATCACTTGATTAGCTTACGATTATTCTCGCGGGATTTATAAATAAATACGGGGAAATGGATTTCGCAACGCTGCTACGTTATATCTTTTCTTTCCAGTTATAATGCATAAAAGAAAATAAATTAGAATATGTAGCAATGTTAATATAACAAATAGCCATTTGCGACTTTGCGTCAGTCATGTTTAAATAAATGTATCATTAAGACATTAAAAGGGATCCCCAGATGAAGATAGAAAAGCTTTATTATGTCGCGAATTATCGATCTATTGATTTCCGGGGGACGACAATCGCCTTTGATACGGATTCTGAAGTAATCGCGGAGAACATTCGATCACGCGTAGCAGCAGTGCATCGATATAATCCTCCAGATCGGAGAGTCTCTTGTTCTTCTCCGTGACTTGCGTCTGCAGCTGCAATGCCAGTTCTATTAAATCCTGCAAGTGAAATGCTTTGTTTGAAATAAGCCACTTGATTAGATAAAACAGTAATTGCTTGCAGCGAAAAATTTGCAGTAAGAAAACTTGTTTCATGAAAAAAAAGTGACGGTTACACATTTCTCTTCAATAAGAAAATAATAAGAGCTCAAATTAATTAGACTCAAAAAGAAACATTTTTACGCCTCGATATTTACTTCTCTCGATTTTCCCTCGAACTGGTTAAGGACCTCGTGCGGCAGGCGACTCTTGGAATTCGCGGCATTCTTAACGGCGTCCTCGCCGCCGATGATGATCCTTTCGGAAGACAGATGATTCTCGTCGTTAGCGTCTTTGAATTTGCTCTCCTTGTCTTTTTTCTTGTCCTTCTTCGCATGCTTTTCCTCCTTGGGATTTCGCGGCTCGTATTTCTCGTCCTTCTTATCCTTCGGCTTATCTTCCTTCACAAGTTTCTCTTTGCTCGCGGCGAGTTTCTCATCCTTGTTCCTCGGATGAAGGATCTCTCTCGGCGCCGGACTGGGCGGTTCTGGAAGATCTTTTAACCTCGATGCGATCGGTGAACGAATAGGTGACGCGTCGCGTTTATTATCCTGCGCCTCGTCCACCACGATCTTAGGTTTGCTTTCCCATCTGACAAGCACAACATGCGCAACATTGTTTCATTATGCTCATAAGTTTTATCTAATAAATCCATTTGTTATATTTTTTTGTTAATGATGTAACATTTCCATTACTGTTAGCATTTATTGGATCGTAAAATGTATGGTTTCTTTTATATTTATATTTTTTTTCCTATTTCTCTTGAAGATAAAAATCTTCAAAATGTCTTAAAACACTTTACCTTTTGGGTACGCTGCTCGCCTGCTTCCCATAGAGCTTCAAACCCCACTCATCGTCCTTCGTTAAATTGTCGACCTTCGATAGATTTGTAGTGGACGCGCTCATGGCAAATCGCGGTGGTTTACTCGGCGCGGCATTAATTGGCACCGGTGGCGTGTGCATCTCATTGAAGACATTGCTCTGCGAACCGTTCGAAATGCCAGTAGTAGTATTACCGCTATTAACACCCTGATGCACGGGTGCGTTCAGCGATGAGGCCGAGCTTTTGTGAGATAAATCGTCGAACTGTAACAGATTAAAAAAAAGTAATTGAAACTATATCCAACAGATACATTTATTTCCATTGTATTATAGTATTTATCCAATCCGTTACTTTTATATTTTTAATATATGTACACGGAGAGAATTTTCTTTTAAAATTTACTCTGAAAACTGTTGATCATGGGACAACATAGTATTTCGACAAATTTTACTGTACACTACAATAAATTTGTTGTAGTATATATTTAAAAAAATAGTGAAAATCATATAAAATTCATCGAAATACTATGTTGTTCTACGATTAATATGATTTTCAGGATAAATTTTAAAATAAAATTCTTTCCGTGTACATTTACCAAATTAGAAATAAAATAAAATTAATCAAATCTCCTCCAGTCCTCACTGACGAGATATATCTAGCACTTACCGTGAATTCATCTTCATCTTCGCTGATAACTCCGGGGTCAGCTTCGCCTGGTTCCTGTCGCGTGATTTTAAATTCGCGTTCCTCCTTCTCGTCCAAGTTATTTTCATCGAGCCGATTCTTGCTCTTGCCTTTGACTTTGTTCCCAATTGACTTGGCTAATTTCTTGAGGCCCTTGCGTTTCTCAAAGCTGCCGATACTGAGCAAACTACCGCCGATCGACTGCGCGGCTGTGGACAATTGTCCCAAGGAGCTTTTGTGACGTTCCTTCTTACTTAGGTCGGTCAGACTTCCAGCTTTGACAATAAAGCCGATCTTCACCTCGAGCTCGCCTCTCTCCTTAGTGTTCTCTTTGCCTGGTTTGCTATTAAGAGCGTACCTAATAAAAAAGCACATTTATTCCCAAATTTATTGATAACGGAATAAAATATACGTGTGTCTTCATAAAACAAATTTTTACATCTTAATAACTTCCATGATTGAAATCTATTTATTTATTAACAGTAAAAGATATAAAATTTATAAAACACCATAAATTTTTTTGAGATAACGTGAATCTACACAAATTATATGCAAATGACAAACAGTATGTGCATAAAGATGAATTATGAAAAATGTAATTGCTATGTTAAAAAAAAATTCAACATATTTGATCATATCAAAAACTTATTGCCACATAAGGCGAATGGTCGATTATATATCATATCACGTTATAAGAATGTAAAAAGGAATGCGAATGATTAACGAGATAGGCGATAGGCCGTAAACGCAACGGTTTCTCTTTCCCGAGCAATTTTTCTGTGGGCGAGAGGTGTGGGAGCGATTTGCATGAAACGCAATTTGCAATTAACGCTATCGCAAACGCACCATCGATTCCTGGGCCTCTCGTACACGTCGAAGCTGGAGAGCGGGATATTGATGGTGCCAAGAAACTCGTCGACACCCAGGAAGTTGCGGTGCAGAGCGGTGAGGACGATTTCCGCGGTGTTTCCCTGCTCCGGGATCAGCAGCTCGCATTCCTCGTGCCATTCCACGTCCTTGGTAGCCTTTTCTTTTACCGACGTCTGGTACTTTTCCTTGCCGAGTGCGATCGTCACGAAGCAATCGTTGGTCTCTGCGCACGTACATTCACAATTCGGCGTGTTGTCTCGCGATGTGGGCGGAGAGGATCGGTGTCGACCGGGAGCGAGGTCGGGAGATTAATGAGATGTGTGTAACGGGAATTAAAGGTCTCACCCGGTAAAAAGATACGTCTGCTCTCGACCGTCGTAGAAATGCCGTCGTAAGAGTTTACTTGATATTCGTATTAAGAAAGAAAAATATTCAATTCCGATTTCGATTTTAATTCTAACTGAAAAGCGTTAACTGGTTTGCACACATTTGTTAATAAAATTTTCATATTAATAAATTATTTGTGTATTAATAAAGTTTGCATATTAATGAAATAAAATTATGTATAAATAAAAATTGATCCGACAGAATTGGGGTAACTCAATTCTGTTTCACATGTAGATAATTAAACGTAATTTAATCCGACAACATTTGACGTGCTGTCGACAGGCTTCTAACTTTATATCTCTCAACAGATGCAAACCTACTATTAATCGTAATGTATGTTCTCTCGCTGTAGCAGCGCTGCGTTTGTTTATTTTAACATTACAGTTAATAAATATAGTAATGTCACAACGCGTGTATCGCGGACGCGCATCGGGAAGTCATTAACTCGTCGCGCAATTACACTGATTATTAGGTCGAGAAGATAGGATACGCGCTCACGTCTGGTATTGGTTGCAGTTGGAGCACCAACTTGTAAACGTTCCTATCGAGCATTTTAAAATACACATCGTACAACATTCTATGTCAATTTCCTTCAAATTCGATCGACAAACTTTACAATTTGCACATTTATCTCATGTATATAAATTTCTTGTTTTTACTTTTTTATTTATTGAGTTTATTAAAATGAATAATGCAATTTTTATCATATGAACATCCTTCTCAGAAAATTTGACATGCTTTCGTTACTTAATTTCAGCGGGATTTCTTAACGCTTAAAATGACATAAGATTTTGTGACGGATCAAATTACTTTAATTCCGCTGAGGTAACGGGATTATGTATTTCGGTTTGAACGAAATTCAAGTTGGTTGACACGGCGACGTGTGTACGAAAATTTGCGCGCATTGTTTATTTGCAAAACTGAGATTGCTTTGCCAGCGAAAACCGGATGATTCATGACCTAAAATAGCCGCGGAATACGAGGTCACTCGGTATCGGCGTGAACGCGCGAATAACGTATAGGTAAGAAACGTGATGAAGCCCGCGTTAATGGAAGAAAACGGATGACATTTGGATTATTGAGAGATCTTAAGATGTTATTGTGTTCAGGGCAAGATGTTATGATGCTTCGGGCATTAGGAGATCAAAGGCATCTTATAATTTAATTTTCATATACTTTATACATATACTTTGTGTAGCAAGATATGCTACATATGTATGTATAAGATATTGTACAACGTTTAAAGTATATGAAAATCAAATTATAAGATGCCTTTGATCTCCTAATTTATAAAAATTTATTAAATACATACATATGTAGCAAGATATTCTACATATGTGTGTATTTAATTAATTTTTATAAATAGAATAGAAGAGATGAGGGGAAAAATTTGCAAGTGCTATCAAGCTAAAAATATCGTACTCACTATGTTTTCCTTTAGTCAGCAAATCCTTGGCCCTCTGAACTGTTAAATAATGAAAAGGAAATGTCAGTGTAATAATAAACGCAGAATAAGTATCGAATAATATGTCATTTATGCGTACGCTATAATTTGTATTTACTTATCTAATAAATTAGATGTCAATTAGATAGATAATTTGAAATTAATCTTTCAATTCGAACAGTTTCGTGTCATTAATATTAACGATATACTCGTAAATAAATAGCTCGTAAATAAAAGGCAGATATAAACGTGCAAAAATAATCGCATATTCAATCGTTTTATATACAGCGTGCTCATATTTAAGTATTAAATGCCATAAAACGAAGCGGTAAGTCATCGTGAAAACGGAGATTTCTTTAACAGCTCTCGCGCACATCTACTTTTTTTTTCAATCGAACTTTCCACGACCCGTGCCCACGAGAAAATCTCACGTTAAGGCTTTCGCGTATAATCGCTCTCGCTTATATCAGGAGTAAAAGCTACGCTGCCCGTATATATATATACCTATATCAGTTACCGCCCCATTGATTTCGCGAGCATTCCGAGAAATCAATCATCGTTTTGTCATCCTTTATTTTTTATGTCGTCATTTATTCCTCCAATATTAATGTCATAATTTAAATATAATAAATAACATTTTAATATCTGTACGAACAATATTATTCTTTAAAATAATTCGTTTTCAGTTTGCATTTTAGATCCTGTTTAATAATATTTAAATTAATAATTGTAACATAGAAAATAAAATGTAAAACGTGTGCCAATTAAAAACTCTATAATAAGTAATTGAATTTGAGTGAATTTTATAATTGGCAATTTAACTATGTACGTCAAATATATGTAAATGGTGCGTCGTGGATTTGAAGCTCGTGATCAAAAGAGAGATTCACACGTATCATTTAATTATTTTTCTACCTTGACCAAAATACGGAATTTGAACAATAAAATTACACGGCTATAGCATTCCCAGACATTTTCCGGCTATTTATCACGCAAACAAAGGCTACTTCTTTTTGCGGAGAAAACCTCTTCTTAATTCGCGTTTATCTTCAATTTAAATATAAAAATATATATATCTGTGCTCAAATAAAATTAAGAATTGAAGCAGAAAGCCGAAAAGATATCTCATATACGTATTTGTTTTTATTTTTATTTTTTATTAAACTTTAGTAATTTTAGTGATGCATGTATGTACTGAGTTACGTGATATTGACCTTTACAGGTGCATCATTATGGAACTTGAAATCTGAATTTACATAATCCGCAAGATCTCGTAAAATGGTTACGGAATAAACGCCTGCAATAAAAAAAAGAAAGGAAAGAAACCGCATGTGTCTCTCTTCCAACCATAATCCGTTAGTTCGTAACGCGGAGCGTTACCGAATAACTGTTGGAGGCACTTCCTCGTTCTCACACGCGCGATGGCGATGAACCGTAAGTAATGGATGTGTGAGGTACAAGGAGGTAGGTAATATATTCCCCGATTTCTCGTGCACCGAAAGAGAGAGAAGAGCCGGGAGAGCCGACTCTCCTCTTGCATCCTCCTTCACGGTCGGATTAGAATTGAGATTGGATTGAAGTCCTTGCCGCGATGAAGCCGCAGTCAAATACCGTTTAGCCTGATAGAGGCATTTTTCAACGCTTCGTGCGTCCGAGCAACGTGGTCGCGATCGCGATGATCCAACGACATGCGACTAAATTTCTTGACCGGTCCCATCTAAGCCTATCTAAATTTTCTAGATTTCTCGGGTTTATCTTGAATTTTATTCGAATAATAAAAATATCACATTATAAAAATATGACGTGGAAAATTCGTATGCTTGCTAATTCTGTAAATTCTGTAAAAATATTTTAGATAAACAGTCAATAAGAATCGAAATTACGATTATCGAATGTAAGATTTAAAGTACACGGAGAGAATTTTTTTTTTGATTTACCCTGCAAATCATGTTAATTATGGGACAATATAGTATTTAGGCAAATTTTACTGTGCACTACAGTAAGATTTTGCAGTAAAATTTATTGTAGTGCACAGTAAAATTTGCCTAAATACTATATTGTTCCACAATTAACATGATTTGCAGGGTAAATTAAAAAAAAATTCTCTCCATGTATCTTGTTCGAACGTCACGTGGTCTTGGAAGATATTGTATATTTATAGCAGCATAATTTGGTTCGATTAGTGAAATACTTTATGCAAAAGCAAAGGAAAGGGGAGCATCGAATAGCCGCTAAACATGCTTTCACGCGTCGCCTGTTTTGTGCATCGAGGTGCGAAAGAGCTAGAAACTTGTCACTCCAAGAAGTCACGAGACGAGGATTTGTACGATATGTGGCACGCAAGAATCATATATATGTATAATTTACTTTTACTCTGCCACAATTTTATGACACATATCTTTTATATGCCATCATAAAACGATAAATGGGAATTTATCCACAATTATTTGCGCGTGCGCTTTCATATATAAGTATTTCGAAAACTTATTTTGACTTTAGTGCGCGGGTGAACGTTCTCTCTGAATCACCCTGGGGAAACTTTCCGGATTCGCACCTGGTGTCGGTCGCCGTTTTGAGCACAGATGTCCGGCTTCTCTTCTCCCCCGTGCACGTGTCCGTTGCAACGGCAATTCTCGGCCGCGATACTCTCGATTTGACACCCACTAACGTCCGAAGTTAGTAAAAGTTTCACGCGCGCTAATTAAGGGGACAGGTGCTCTAACGCGAACACGCTTTCACGAATTAAGTCGCGCTCTCGGTAACAGGGCTTTTATTTTATGATCGATTCGCGGTGAATGGTGTACTCTGATTTTAAACTTCACACAAACTGCACGTTGAAAGTTGGAAGACTACAATGATTTATTAGGGATTAAATTGTTGTAAAAGAAACGGAAAGGAATTAAGATAATAAGAGATGGAAAGAAAATCCCCTAGAGGAGGAGGAGGGGGGGAGGTTCAATTTAGATTATCGGAGGTGATATACATGTGTTTTAAAAACCGATATCAGATACAGCCGATGAGTAACTTAACTGTTTTGAATATCAGCAGTACATATAGAATGCGTCATTGGATATGTTGTGACCGAGGAATATCACGTGAAAGCTCGCCATTCGAAAATTTCTATATGTAGATCTCAATGCATGATATAAATTCTTTCACGCTAGGCAATAGAGTAATTCACTGTGAGCGCAGAACCGACGTATTTCCGCGAGGTAACGTTTATTCGCAGCGCAGCGATGCAGCCGCATAATTGCATCGCGTTTAATTGCTGACGGAGTTAATTGAAATTATTACTAGAAGTCGTTACAAACCATGCGAAAAAATTACGACCCTCTTACGATAATCTTAAAAAGTCAAGGAAATGAGAGAGATAAAAATAAAAAGGAGATAAATAATACAGTTCTTCAATTAATCTGTCCCCAGAGATAACTTTCGTTTCACGAATCGATCGAATTATCAATGATGAAAAAATTACCTTACCGCGAGTGTGTTTTTTTATAAGACATTCTTTCGTCATTATGGCAAAATCGTGCGATTTAAAGTCGAGATAGATATTTAGATAATTTATAATTTAATAATTTTATTTAGGTCTGTAATTTTAATTTTGAAATCTATTCTACTTTTTTTCGAAAAAAAGTATGCAGGACATTGAAAATTCACCGAAATTTTTGTAACGTCTTTCGTAACAATTTCTTTCTAGAATTCCTTTTATAATGTCGATGCAATTATATCCTTGGAAAGTGTCCAAATATCCAGCGCGTGACGACTACAAAAGTAAAATTCCGTGATTGTGTAATTCTTTTTTTTCATATTAGCAAAACATATTTAAGTTATAGAGGGTCGGCTCTTACATTAAAAGATCTAAATGCGTCGAACGTGAGCGTGCAATGTGCAATGCGAAAAAAGAGAAAATCGTTTTTCGAGCGACGCATTCTCCGACGGTCTTTAAATACACGCTTTGCGTGCACACCACGGTGTGCAGCGATGACACGATGACACATCGCACAGCAGAGCGGGGTATACAAGCGCGTATCCTCTCGCGCGTGTGCACGCTCTTTCTTGCATTCGCGTTCTTCTTCGATTTAAGATAACGATAGAGATATAAACCATATCCTCTCATGACGCATCTCCTCCGGCCGATGCTAAATCGCGGTATCGTTTACATTACCGATAAGATTAGAATTTCAGGGAGGGAAAGGAACGATCTGTGCGAACTGCTGCGGATTTACTTGATCTCTTTCAAGAGAAACAAACGTGTCTCTTTCAAAGTTCATCAAATTCTCAATACATCTTTCTTATCTTGTAGTCCCTTTCTATAGAAAACCCTTTTTAACGTCGTCGTAATGTTCGTGGAAAGTGTCCAGGTATCCGCCGCGTGACGAATACGAGGTTCCGCGACGCGATTTCTACGTCTCAACGACACGGGGGGCTCGGACGGCTGCGGATACATTCCTGAGCGGCGACGGAGACGAGGCTGCGAGGTTTCGCTCGCCTAGTTTTCCGCGTACACGAGAAACACGTAACCTTGTATATACATATGCATTTCTCTATACGTATATATGCATATAGCCGTGTATGTGACAAACAATTGCGTTATATGGCGCGCATTCCTCCGCGGCGCGTTCGAGCATCCCGACCACCTGTCGAAAAGGTGAGATGAGGAGAGGGGAAGAGAGAAAGAGAGAGAGAGAGAAGGCGAGTCGTCGTTACGATGCTCGTCGTCGCGATATCGCCACACGCTTACCTGTCACCTGAACGTGCGTCGGGCTCCACATTTTGAGATCGCTTTCTGAGCCACCTTCTGCTGCTCGCACGACGGAATTGCGACGCTCGTCGGCTCCTCGCGACGATCAACTACGACGACGCTCTGGCGACGCGCGGCGCGCTACGAGAAAACGTTCACATCACGCGGTCGTGTCTCGCGCACTGGCTCACCCGCACCGTCCCGTCTCGCTCGCGACTCCTCCGCTGCGCGCTCCGACTGTTCCGAGAACCGAGAGTCACGTTCAGTCACGTCGGCAGTCGAACGTTCACCACATCAGCACACCATCACCGACCGCGACATAAACTGACGTATACCTCGCTTCGCGACCACCGCGACGACTGGTGCGGCGCGCCGCCGCGCCTTCGAACAACCGCTACGTGCGTCCGCCGCGCGATCGGCGCGCCAGGTGCGGACTGAACGGGACCCATTGCGCGGCTATTTTCACGGCGCGGGCGCCGGCGGCGAGTAGAAAATGTAGAAATGCTTCCATTCATTGTAGCAAGACGTTATATTTTCTGCATAAAAAAATGAAGCAGGTATACAAATGAAAAAAAAAAGGAAAGATTAGAAAAATGTTCGATAAAGAAAAACCTAATATAGTTACGGCAAAATTCGACTAATAGATCGAGTATTTTTGTGAGTTTCATGAGTCTTTCCTATAATGTAATTTAAAAATCCAGAACTGTGATTGATCGGTCCGTTCATTACGTAAAATCTGTCGTTAATTTTTTTAACGTTGAGATGAATTAAATGACGATTGAAGGCTAGATATTGAATATTTCAATGAGATATGTCGTGGCGTTTAATTTTTGAAAAATTAAGATTACAATTTTTATAATGTAACATTCTTCTCTGGCTAACTTACTAGTTTGCATTTTGGTCTTGAGTACGCAATAAAGAGAATATGTCGAAGCAATAAATCTAACATTAAAATATGTACTGCACGCACATTGGTTTTAATGGCGTAGCTTTGGCCTTCATTCCGGATTTCCCATTCATCTCTTATACATTTGATTAACCGTATCCTGAACTAAGCGTTAATTAACCTGTTCGCAGCCTGCGATCGTCACGTCGATAAGAACTTACGCTGCCACATCGTGAGAAATGTCTTCACGTCTCTCGGATTCTTATAGTTACAGTACAACGATAATTATAACAATCAGCATTAACCCTTGACCCTTGGGATATGAATAACAAGAATAACAATATTAACGCAAATGCGTAAATGTAATGGTTATTAACTTATAATGCTTATTGTTAGTTAAAATTCAGATTATTTGTCTTATTGTTAGAATTTCAGGGAGGGAAATAATAATGAATTTCTTCAAAAATGCTTTGAGTTAATTCATATTCATCAAAGGCTGCTAGTCTGAACTAATGAAAAGATCTCGAATAAAAGAATCTTTTTTTTTGCAAATAAATGGTCGTACATATTACGTTTGCACGAAATTAATTCACTTAATTGAGGGAACTATTGTCAAAGCGTAATTCTGCATAAAATTGACGATTGCAGTCTAATTGCCTTCTTCGGCATATCCGAATATAATACGTGTTTATTTCTATGCGACTTTTATATCTTGATTAAATTTGTAATACGAGTACGCAATAATTTAGACGGTTGCTCTAGCGACTGTTCTGCGTTTGACAATGTCGTTAGATTAATAAACCTTATTATGTAAAGCCAAAAGCTTGTCCGCCTCCTATTTGCAGAGAAATCAGAGATGATTTACGATTATAAAGCTAAGCGGTTGTATTACATTCCGCGCGATTGCCCGCAAAGATTGCCAAAGAACGGAAGTGGTGAGGTGATACGCTGCATCGTAATTTCCGTGGTGTATATCATTATGCTCGTCTCGTTTCGTAATTTATTTAATAAAAAATTTCGGCATCAAATGGCCAGTACATTTTCATCGACATTAGTAAGCCAATTTTCAATTTATGATAATTAAAACGTGCGTGTAATATAATCTTTACAAATTAAAAATTATAAATTATAAAATATTTTTCTCCGATCGAGTACATCCGCGAAAACAAATTTGCCGATTTTTTTCGTCGAATAGATATCGCCACGAAGCTGCGTCGTGCGTATTTTTACGTTCGGAAAAAAAAACACGATAAAGTTTGGAAAAAGAACGCTTACGGCCATGTAACAGTAACTCTTTGACGTCTAATTGCGTCTCGCAACGAAGGAATCTTCCCTTTGTGCGATGGCGCGCCCACTTTTATTGTCGCGCCGTTTTATCATGGATCCGCGAGAGTTTTACAACTCGCCTTTTATCGTGATGCAATCGCGTAAATCCGCAATCCGCTTAAATCGACGGTGTTACGCCGACGCGATTGCATCACGCCCCCGCATTACGATCATCATCGCGACTCGATTGTCTGCGTTTCGCGGAAAAAAAGCGTCAAATCAGCATATACTCATCGACGACGTTAGTAATTAAGTAGTCATAACAGCCACGTTGGGAGAAACGTGACTGTGCATTAGAAAACGCCGGTGCGTTTCATTGTCAGTAAGGCAGATTTTAAGCAACATGGAAAATGGTTAGAGCGAGATTGATTTATCGTCACATTCAATTTTTAATCGCGCCAAAACAACTCGCGAATTTACGCGATCCGTTTATTGCAGCCGATAAGTTATCGCGGATTCTCTTCTCTCTTTGGAATTTTATGTGTCATGGAAATCGCCCGAGCGAGCAATCAACACAAAAATCTAATCGCCTTTCCGCGTTAACTGCATGACGATGAGCCTTGAGATTTGTTGAACGCAATTTTACAAAACGACTGTAATATCGAAACTATAAAGCTCCCCGAGAAAAAATTTTTTATGTAAAAACATATATAAATATATACGAACATATAGAAAAATATATAATTATACATAATTATATGCGAATGCATAATTATATGTTCATACATATCCATATATGTTTCTTTTCTTTGTTAAATTATTGTGTGATATAAGAAAAATGATAATAATAAAAAGAAAATAAATAACATAAAAAATAATTTAAAAAATAATTTTTGCATTGTTTTTTTTACAAAAAATCAAGTTATATGAAATGAGAAAAAATTGTTCATATATGATTATATATGTATATTTTTAATCATTTATATATGATCATATATGAACATATATATTTTTCTCATTTCTTCAAACTTGATTTTTTGTAAAAGAAACAATGTAAAAATTATTCTTTTAATTATTTTTTCTGTTTCCTTTTTATTATTATCATTTTCTTGTATTAAAGAATAATTTTACAAATGAAAGAAACATATATGAATATACATGGACATATTTTCATTACATATAATTATATATTTTTATACATGTTTATATATATTTATATATGTTTTTATATAACAAATTTTTTTCCGGGTCGTTAATCTACTCTCGTTTCATCGCGATCAAATGCAAATTCTATAGTCGTGTAACGCGGATTGCAAGTTAATTTAATTAATTATGTTAATTATGTTAATGAAATTAGCATATACTGCGAATTATAATAATCCATTGCATCGTTTAAATAAAAGAGAGATGTTCAAAGCAAACAAAATACATAACGAATATACGTAAAAGACAGTATAGAAATTAAGCATTCAGGAATTGGCTTTCTGATTTTGTCTGTTATTTATTTCTCGAAATTGTATCGCAACTCGTGAAAATTAAAATTTTAAATTTCTTTTAGTGACCGACGCACGATGTAGTGCGCAGAGCTTTGCACACCTGCCGTGAGAGGTAACCATTGTGACCAGTCTACAAGCGACAGTCGACGATTCTACTCGGATCGTTCCTGCTTCGGTAATTCGTTCTGTATATCGCTTGGATTCCTTCTCAATCGTGCTCGGAGAAATACGTCGACGGATCCAATTTTCGAGTGATACACGTAAATCGCGTGTGATCGTGTTAAACAAACTTTGCGCGATGAACTTGTGAAGTGAGAATCAATTGCGAAAAGGCGCGCGATCGACGAAAACGGAGCACCTCGCGCAATTCAAATTTTACCGTAAGGATAGAAAGGAAATATTCATTCCGATAAGCTATTCAGAAGAAACGAAGAACGTGAATAACGATAAGCTAGAGAGAGAGAGAGAGCGAAAAAATTCGTCGAAAATTTTCGGTAATTCTTCCGCCGTGTATTGCCTGGTACATACATGGCCGTAGCGGCAAGGTGAGGTGGAGGGCGGCAGGTGCGCGCGCCATCTAGTGACGTCACCGGTCGCGCCACCCGGCCGCCTCGCCGCGCGTATCCCCACCAGGCACCGCTCGTCGCGCAACCGCCGCCACCGCGCGCGCTCGTGGCTGCCTACGTCCTTCGCATACGTACTCCGGCCGTGGGCTGAACGGGCCTAGCGTCGTGTCTGTTTGCTGCTACCTCGCGCCTTGCGGTGCTCCGGCCCGTATTATCCTCGTCTCGTCTCGTCTCGTTTCGGTTCGCGTGTGACTCTCGCGGCTTCGCGCGTTCTTCAGTGCAGTGGTGCGGCAGTGGTGTTGTCCGACGATACGTACTCGTGTTAACGTTTACTCCTCCTTTGCCTCCGTCGAAAGTGAGACCGACGTGACGCGATGTCTTCATTCAAGGACGATAAGGCGCCGTGCGCCCGGCTCTGCCACATCGTCAAGTGGGACGATTTCAACGGTTACGGCTTCAATCTGCACGCGCAGAAAGGCAAGAACGGCCAGTTCATCGGCAAGGTGGACGAGGGATCGCCGAGCCAGGCGGCCGGTCTTCGCCAGGGCGACCGGATAATCGAGGTTAACGAGATCGACATCGCGAACGAGACTCACAACCAGGTGGTCGAGCGCATCAAGGCGTTCGCCAACGAGACCAAGTTGCTGGTGGTCGACCAGGAGGCCGACGATTACTTCAGGGAGAACAACATCGTCATCAAGGGGACCATGCTGAACATCAAAGTGATCAAGACGCCGGAGAGGAATCCCAACAGCGTGGAGGATCGTTCCGATGGCAGTAACTGCTCCGTCGACGAGGTAAGTGCGCTTCTCGTTTTTTGTTTTTTTTCCCTAGTATTGTGACCGTTGATCGTTAAGTTTCGGAGCATCAATCATGCGTTTTTTCTCTGTCGCGTGTCACAGGCTTTTAAATGTGTCGTTCTAAAGTTGAGGCAGTGTCACACAAGAGTATATAATAGTCTTAGAAATGAATCCTTTATTAAATCAGAATGTGCATAGCTACATGTAAATTTGACGCGTCAGAATGAATTGCCTTTATTTAATCGCGACCTGCGAGTGATATTTAATTATACGCGTACGGATAACTTTGCGGATCAATCGATATGAATATAATTCGTCGTCAACCTGTCGCTGCCTCTCGAATATTCGGAATTTTCTCGCCGTTTCCGTTGCATAATGTTTTTCTTTCCAACGGAAAATTACAGCCGGTTTATACAGGCTCAGTACACAAGTACTCAAACGGATGAAACAATGCATAAAGTAGTGTACCGACAACAAAACGTTTACTCAAACGTGTCTATGTTTCAAGCATTTTTAACAAAGTAAATCACTTGATGTGCAATTTAACGTTGTCTCAGGATTGATTAATATTTGCCTGAATGGATCTGTTGTCGCGGAATATGTATGCACAATGTTGAAAAATAAGTTGTTTTTACTTTGATGATGCGTGTATAATGGAAGATTCTTAAGATCCTTGCACAAGAGTGAGATCTTGTTAATGGTAATAATTATTATTAACAAGAGACGGAATAAATATGCTGCACAGCGGTGTATCGGTACACAGAAAATTATGAAATTCGAATAATGAGAGTAACGAGTGGCATTGAACGGCTCGTTTGCAAATTTTGGGCGATTTCTTTGAATAAATATAAATGCATGTGCATTCAAAATTGCGAGAATTGGAAATACGGACGCGCGGAAGTAAAATGGTATTGCGGACGAGGAAATCGAGTAGATAACATGCCATTCTTATCTTGCAAACCGATCCAGATTTATATATAATGGTGAATAGAAACGAACAGAAAATTCCGAACATACTTTTCTTATCTTTGATAATGAAGATTAGAAATAAAGCAACAATTTGTTTCCTTTTGTGGAAGTCGCATCCCGTTACTTATATATTCTTATCTTACTCTCCGGTGAAGAGGAGGTGAAAAATATGCAGATTTATTTCATAAATTAAAGAGAGGAGAGAAAAGTGGTTAGCGCGTGTTAAGGCAAACGCATCGGTTAATCGGCATTTTCTTCGGCCGCGAAAGTCCCGGGAGACGACGCTCCCTGTATCAAAGGAATCCGAGGCATTCGCATGGAATTTATCCGAGTCGCGCCACAGGTCCACCTGTTGAATTCGTCGCCGCCGCCGCTGCTGCTGTTGCTGCTGCTACTCTCGTGTTTACGTCCACGTTAGAAAGTGCCTCGCACGCATGCGACGCGTGCACCACCGCTATTGAATATCGACGATAATCTTAACAGCTGTCTAATAACAAGGCACATTATGCGATTAGACATATTATTACGCCGAACGAGATATTGCACTTTAGTAAAATTTTGAAAAAAAACAAATTACTTTTTGATAATGTGAGAAAATTTATAATTTTTTTTGCTCATTTATTTTATTTATTTTTGTATATTTATACGTTTATTTTATCTATTTTTGTATATTTATACGCTTATTTTGGACAGTTTTGCCGGAGCTGATAATTACTCGTTAAACATCGTGTCCACCGTATTATTATTTTTTACACTGTAGCATGCACATTCAGGTTTTGTACAGGCTTTTATAAAATACAAGCAGGTGCGCGCTATTGAATGTACACACGTCATCGTGTCGTAATTAGTTATTTCTCCGCGGAACAGTCTTGCCGTCGCTCTGTTCTTTTAGCCATTTCGATGATCGATGTGTTGCAGTAAAAGTAGTCGGAATAGAAATTCGACGTATAGCAAGGCACAAAAGAGATTTGCTCTTGCTTTCCCTCCTTGACAAGCTTACAATAATATGAAAATCAATATTAAATATATAACAATTTATGTACAGTATTAACTGTAAAATTTATTAACATATTCCATGTTTTTATTTTGGTAGATTACTTATTATCTGTAATGTGTCGTTAAATTCGGCACGTGTGCACAATATTGTACAAAATTTATATTTTATTTCATGCGATATCACTTGCTTTAATTCGCATTTGTGTGTACGACGAACTTTACAATCTCGAATATTAATATTTATCTCACATGAATTTAATTTGCGCACGGGCGTACGGCGATACTTGTTTGATATTTACGATCGCGCGGAGATCAGGTTCATAAATATTTTTATGATTGTAATCGGTTCTACCGCGATTTGCACCACGGTAATCATGACATTACGACGATAAGAAATGCGAGTATTGGAGTCGCGCTTTTACCGGGATTATCGAGTAAAGGTAATGACGCGAGGCAGGAAATGATTTAATGTCGGATCGTCAAAATCCTTTTTCAGGGAAACGGTTGCGCAAGCGTCGTAACGACACGTCTACCTCCATTTTCCCATCGGTGTATCCTCTCTCGGCGATCTCATCGGCGATGACGCGTCTCTTTGCTCGCACTGTCAGCTGACTAATAAAACGAGAAATCGCGATTTTTTTTCTCTTCACCAATCGTGCCGTGCGATTATCTTGCGCTGATTTCTCACCGACGCGTCACGTCTCTTTCATTATTATCAGTTATGCAGAAAGATGCGGCCTCGATCGAAAGAAAGATAAAGAATTATGGTAATTCAAGTTAATCATAGTAAACAACTTCGCGAAAGAAAATTAGAAGTTATTGAAAATTTTTGGAATATGATAATATATTTTTTTCATAATTCTGATTTCTAACATGTTTTTTAATATTAATAAGATAATTGACTGAATTATTAATCACATAATATTTGGTCATAATTTAGTGTCGGTTACAAATGGGTATGTTTATCTGTGCATATAAATTTATTAAAATAAAAATTTACTATGATTTTCAATTTATATATGCAGCTCGATTTATTGAAGACATTATTTATTGATGTCATTAAAGCTGTTGCGCATCTTTAGCCAAGGCTAAAATGTGCGCAGATAAAAAAATTTTAATACAGATTGCACGACGTCATTACGACTATTTCTCATAAATCATCATTTACAAGGTGTATTTTCATCCTGTTTTTGCAGAAATAATTATCTTTAACGTTATGCCTTCCTTGTACCATAATTCACTTGCATCATCCAATATTTCTCTGTGAATCCCCCAAAGGATTAGAAGACTTTTTTTTATTTCTAATGAGAATTTATCATTAAAATCAAGTAACATTACTCGTAATACTCTGTCTCGTGTTTCCTATTAATTCCACTAAAACTTTAATTAGGGACAAAGGGGTTAATTGACATAAATTGCCACTCGGTAAATATGTCGGCATTTGCGCCGAGTTACCATCGCCATCTTTTTGTGTTGTTATCAGCAACGATTGTTGCGCTTATTACAACACCGCGCTTACGTGAGTACTCAAGTAAACGCCTACCTGAACTCGATGATGCCTCCATATCGTTAGTAACATCTGTATTTGCTCGGATCCCGGAGCAATAGGCACAAATGCGAAGGAGATTCGTCGCGTATAAAATGTACGTAAAACGTTAGAGCAGCGTCTTCCTCCTAGAAAATTTTCCTTATCGATCTTTTCTCGATTTTTTCCTCAAAGATAATGAAATTGCGTTTAGAGCGCATTACGATATGTATCTTAAAACGAGGACAATTGATTGTACGACTTGGAGGTGGAAGAACGAATTACCGAAGGACGTATGTTTCTGTATTCGCGACATATCCTTTCTTTTATTTCTAGGCCATTGAATTACATTCGTTGTTCTCGTTATAAGTTGCTAACATTAGCTGTCGCTTATTTTGTGTTATAAGTTGCGTGCAGAGTAAATTATCATTTGAACTTTCAATTAGGCAGCAATTAATAATAATATGGAACGAATTGAAATTTTAGTATATGTATAAAATTGTAGAAATTATAGAATATAGTATGTATGTTACATCGTATTATGAAATACAAAGTATATCACGATCGAGAGTAGCATCTAGCTGATCTGTCGAAGCATTAGTTTCAACGCGTTCGCAATTTATCGCATCAGTTTTAATTAGCGGGTGATGTGTCGCGTAGGTACGTATGCATTCTCGCGTGTCGCAAGCGCGTGTTTATTACGCGAGAGGAATGTGAATAACCCCTATCGCGTTCTCTGAAATACGAGTCGGGTTCAATTGATGAAACGTACGAAACGATGGAGCACCATTCCTACGCATTGAGAAATGTTTTGTCCTTCATTATCAATTTTCATTACTAATTGATAGCCACATGATATAATTATCATTTTGATATTAAAATGGATATAACTTAATATGCTATTTTGATATTAATAGAATATTTTTAAATTTCGCGTTTCTTTACTTCTATTTTGTAATCGAAAAGAAGTTCGTCTTTCGCGTGTATTTACTGATGATTCTTAAATATTATTAACTTGAATCGTCGTATCATTATGCAGCATTTCTTATGTTATCGCCATGTCTTGAAATAGCAAGCGATTATATCATCTCGGCACGTGCTTAAAACGCCATCACGAGTCGGCATCATGCTTCTCGTAGTCACAAGAGTATTCACGAATGTAATCGTACCACGGGGATGAATGAAATGTGATTGAATCATGCTGAATAAGCGGAAGCTTTGCTGATTTGCACGTGCCAACGGACGGACTCTCGACCTATACACGACAATAAAAATTACCGTTTGATATTTCCTGCTTCCGATCGCGTGTAATGACTGACAGCGAAAAAAACGCTAAAAGCATTTTATTTTTTACTATTTTTGGATAAATCACTTCAATTAAAGAATATTCGAGCAGTCGAGAATAAAGTTTTATTTTTTTCGAAGAAAATTAATGCTTTATTATAAGAAAAGAGTGCGCTCTAAAAAAATATATCTATCATGGTTATTATATTTTAAAAGTCTATTT